CAAAATCTTGGCTACGGGCATGAAGCATGAAAGCCCGTCTTTAAAAAGAGAAACAATAAAACTTATTGACATTCCTGAGTAAGAACAATTATTTATGAAATGTTGCAGAGCTATAAATCCATACAGGATAAAGCCGTCAGGCAAAAATTAAAGCATTCTTGTAGCAGGGTGCAGGGTGACATCAACAGTGACATCTAGCGACGTTTAGTGGAATAGCATGTCTGAAAGGTTGACCCACTGTTGCATGTTCCGTGGATCAAGAAACTTTCACGAGGTAATAGAATGTCCTTACATGGATTGTTGCATGGATTGATGCCTTGTTACGCCCAAGCTTTATGTTGTCTGAATGCATTTTGGGCTCAGGCCAAAAACGGTTCGGCCAGAAAACGTCACAACTTTCTCCCAACATCTGCTTTGTTTTACAGCGTTTCAACTTTCGCGCCATCTTTCAAACGTGACCTCTGACCTAACCAAGATGGCGTCGATCTGACGATAAAAAACACGTTCGCTCACTTTCTGGTGCGATTTTTGCATTTTCCCGTCCCTTACGACCAACCATAGTCTTCATATGGTTCAAATTACTTAAGATAAACCTAAGGAAGGCTAAAATATCGTCTTAAAGGATGTCGGAGTCTACCAAGGAGGCGTTTCGCCGCCTTAGACCGATCTGCGTGAGACTGACGAAAGAGCAGACGGTTGAGAACGTCTTGGAGTTGAGGAGAAGTCTGGAGGAAACTTCGGAGGAGGACCTTCAGCAGCTCCAGGAGTACGCGCTGTTTCCTCTCAGGATCATGCTCAAACAGAAACAGCGAGCGTGAGTTTTTTTTTTGATAAGCGAAAGAGCGAAAATACAGAAGGTTATGTGTTTAACAGTGGGGGGTTATATATAGGCGCTACCAACTGACCCGGCCGATGGGTCTAGATCTTTTACGTCTTAGCTGATTCAGTAGGAGCGTCAGATTGTAAGCTGGTGCTCGGGGGGTCGTGGGTTCGAACCCCGGCCCAGGACCAGGAGGGTTTTTATCTGTTTCTACTGCTCGCTCCTGTTTCTTACAGTGGTTCCCACACCAGCCCAGGGACCACCATACATACTGGTCCCAGGGTTGCTGATTTTTTCAATCGGGTATAACTTGGGTTGTGGTACATGTATCTTCATGATATTTGGTAGGTAGGATGAGGTTGGGAAAAAGAAGGTCAAGGGGAATTTTGGGTACTCTAGCGATTTTGTAAGGTACTGCAGGTTCAGGAGTACATGCTGTTCCCTCTCAGAAGCAGCGTGCGTGAGTTTTCTACCTATGGGCGAAAATACGCCTGACTTTTTTTTGTGTGTGGCTATGTCACAGTATGTGTGCGTATGTGCTGTCTGCAGCTTGCAGCTCACATTCTGTACTCTCAGAGGTTACAAAATTTTTTGTGCTATATATGCTCATGAGTGCATGTTATGATTCAGTCATTTCTCAAATTAAGGCACGAGAGACTGACCCAGGCAGTGTTGGAGTGTATGACCCACGTGTTCCAACACACCCACGTTCACCACTGGGACATGTTGGAGGACACTTTTACCCAGCTCTGTGTCCTTCTCAGCTCACCCGCCAATAACGGACAAGGTACGGGAAATCTTAAAATATTTGTGGAAATTCATGACACTACAAATCATAATGCATTCGCAATATATAATATTATGTACACTGCATAATTGTTTCAACTGTGAATTTAGGAAAGTGTAAAAACTGTGTGGCAACAACAGACGATAAACTAGATAGTGAGGGTGTGAGTGTGTGTGATTTTTACATCAATATTAAGTCCAAGCTTAAATGAATGAGTTAGTAGCAGTTTACAGTATGTAAGTTGTAAGTTCATGAAGGGTCATGGCATCTTATTTTGTGGTATTATGTTGTGAAAATTGGATTATACTGTGTGTTTATGTGTTGATGTACATGTAGAATGTCTGCCCTACCGGGGTACAAAGTGTATTTAATTTCTATACCCAGTTGCTGATATAAGTGAGGAAGTGAAGCTGGCCGTGGTCACAACACTGAAGAGTCTTCTTTTGGCTGCTGACTCCAGGTTGGTAGCGAATTAGTGGTGTAACATTGCATCTGATGAGCCATCTTAACTCTAACTGCTCCTTGATTCTACCTAGGGAAGAAGCACCTACTGTATTATATGATAACAGGTTCCTTTCTTTAAAAACATGTTTCCAAATGGTTATTCCACCTTCTGACACTTAGTCATACAAGATATGGGACCTTCCGTAAATGCAGTTAATTTACATGGTACTGTAGTCTGTACTTTTGTAAATTGTGGTCATAATAAAATGTTGAACTTTATTCCAACACAAGGATTACACAAATTTTCACCGATTAATGACCAATCACCTTGAATGGTACGTGTAATCCTTGCTTCCTTGCACTCACCGCCACCCTGCTTTCGGTGGCGGACAGGGAGTGGCGCCCCTGCCCATTGAGGACCTGCAGACCACAACGTACACACACAAAACTTCTATAAGCGACCACCCTATCCAATACCCCCACCCCCACCGTGCTGGAGCCCTCAACCGATTGAGGTTAGCATGAAAAGGGAAGAAGAAGAATAAAGTCCAATACATGTATTAACACTACCAACACAGATGAACTTCCATGATAATTTGTAAATTGTGATTTTTTTCTGGATATTTCCCTACCAGCCTCCTGGTGAGTCTGTACTCGGTCCGACGGCTGCCTGTGATTGGCCACGCCGTGTCCGTCCTGCTGTCAGCAGCTGAGCAGGAGAGCGCCAGGAAACTCCGGTTGGAGACCCTGGAGTGTCTGATGGTGCTAGCAGGCTGTCACTCCGGTGAGAGACCTTGGATGAAATGTACCTGTACAGTTTTAGAAATATCCACCTACCGTCTGCATTTTGCAAACATTTTCAATATTGCAGACCTTCAGCTGCAATTTTGCAGATTGGAAAAATCAGGGTAGGCCAGGCTGTCACATGTAAGAACTGTAATTCACTTTATATTCACGGTAGCAACAGTTCACGGTCTGAGAAAAATGGACAAGTCATGTTCTCGGAAATATATATTTTTCACGGTGGCGACAGGTGCAGGAAAAAGAAAGTCCAGGAATTATTTGTTAATTGTAATGATAAGTTCATGGTACAAAAGGGACAGTGAAAACAGTGAACATAACTACAGTACATACAGTACAGTAAAAAATCAGGAATTACAGTAGTGTTTTCATCTTGACAATGTCTTATGTTCTGTGCAGATCCTCCTGACCTTGAAGCAGAACGACCTGACCTTGACCCCAGTCTGCAGAGACAGATTGCCGACAGCTTTGCCTCCTTCTTACCTGGGATCACGATGACCCTCTCTAGGGTCATCATGGGAGATGCCAAACAGGGGCATGCTGTGACTGTGGTAAGTCTGATGGAAGAAACTTTGAAAGATTTTCTCTGTAATCAGATGATTACATATTTTCCCAAACTGTGAAAAAGAGCGAATTGGTTTTGTGTCAAGAAATATTGTTGCATTGTAGTAAAAATCTTGCTTCAAAAAAAGACTTGCACTAGTCTTAATGCAAGCACGTCTACCCCCCAGTTTAGGGGAAAAATGACGTTAAAATTGGATTAAACATGGAGACCTCCATGGATTAAAATATTATAGTATCCAAATCAGAACCTCAGCACAAGGAACTCGCTGTAATTTTTTTCAGTTTTGCTGAACTGATATTGGACAGTGGGAAATGCATTGTTAAATGTTATATTGAAAAATCTATATTACCATTTAAGTCATTGTGCCCAGAAACACAGAAAATAACCCTTGTGATGGTAGAACCTTTATTGTGTGTATCTAATTCAATGTTTTGTCCTCCTCTTCAATAGGCTGCAACAGAAGCATGGTCCAGAATTGTTGCCATGGTGATGAGTGACAGCTCACTGGGTGACAACGAATCACAACAAAGTCTGAAGTCACATGATACGGATGTCAGTGAGAGGCTGAGGTCACTTCAGGTCAGGAGAACAGAGGACTGGTGCAGCAGCACCGTGGAGAAACTCAAGGTCAAGTTCAAACAGCTTTCTTGTTTTACTTTTCAAAATCTGGTAGTCTTGTGTTAGTGTTGCTGACTCAGAATCTGAAGGTCCTGGGTTCGAATCCCTGCATGGCAAGTCCCATTGTTGTGTCTTTTACAGCTACATTTTTGTATTTCCTCACTAGACTCATGTGAAAATGAGTACATTTGTACTTGAATTTAGCTTTGGTTAGGGAAGCATATAGGAACTAAAGTGGAGGTCCTGTGTTTGCCAAGATGAGAGTCAAACCTAAGGAACATAAAAGAACCCACCACACTTATGGAAAAGAGTGGGAATTTATCTAGCACCATTATTTTTGAAATACAACCCGTCCTTTTTCCAAACTTCAGGTGCTGGTAGAGAGAATAGCAGGCGTGGTGACACACCCCAGCTGGAGAGTCAGACTGGCTCTGGTGGAGTTCGCAGAGAGACTTCTCATGAACTGCACTAAGTGAGTCGAGTTTTCTGCAGCAGGGTTTTATAACTCTAGTTCTGGATGGATGTACATGTATACTTAAGTTATGTTTACTGAAGGAAACATATTGTTTTTACTCAGTTTCTTCCTCTTCTTCTTCTCCAAACAGTGACCTCTGACCTGACCAATGACATGATTTGTTGACGTCTGTCACCATGGTGACTGGTGTTGGGTTACGTAATGTTGCAATCTCATGGTCTGCTATACTAGTAGTAGTACATATGTATGACTGTTTTTGAGTAAGAATTAACAGAGCAGACCATGTCCGAAGGTAAACATTGTGCATTTGATTTGCAAAATTTAATGTTACTTCTCTACTTATTAGTTGCTTCTCCCTCCTAGATAGATAAATACAAAAGAGGGCAGATTTGGGGTTTTACATTGTGTCTATTGCTAGTGGTAGACTGTTACATGTGGTGTTCCTGTGTCCCCTGTAGGACCCTTGAGTGTTGCTTACAAAAGAGTGCAGATTTTGGGTTGTGCGTGTGTCTATTGCTAGTGGTAGACTGTTACATGTGGTGTTCCTGTGTCCCCTGCAGGAGCCTTCAGTGTTGCTTACAAATGAAGGCAGATTTGGGATTTTACATGTGTCTATTGCTAGTGGTAGACTGTTACGTGTGGTGTTCCTGTGTCCCCTGCAGGAGCCTTGAGCGCTGCACCTCGCCCCTCCTGCAGGTGTTAGTGAGCCAGGTGGGGGACGACTACCCACAGGTGGCAGACAGGTGCAGGCAGGTGCTTGGCAGGTACTCCGAGGCTCACCTGGGCTCCAGGCCGCTGGTGGAGATACTGGAGGAAAATCTCCACTCTCTAGCCACGTCTCTGCCCAGGCTGATGAGGACAGCTGGTGAGGAGACGTTTTTTGTTGTTTTATCTTCTATATGAATTATATGTTTTTGATATTTTCTTCTTCTCTGAACAATATTTTTTTAAATGTTTACCTAAGCAGAAGGAAAACAAGTTGTTTTTGCTCATTTCTTTTTCTTCTTCTCCAAGCAAATGCATGTAAGGTCAATAGCATGGACCAGATGTCTTGTCACCATGGTAACTGGTACTGCAGCAGACACTGTGGTGTTTGATTACTTTAAGTAGCAAGTTGCAAGGACAGGGCTGGAGGGGCTGGTTGCTACATTGTACTACTGTTACTTCTGAACATAGAAATATGGTTTTGGGTGGCTGAGCTATATAGGTTTGTGTGTCTGTGTGTCCAGGCAGTGTAACTTGATATTTCATTCCCCAGATGATGGTAAGAAGCTGTCAACCTTGACCCTGACCTACGGTTACCTGGAAGTATTGTTTTGGGTGGCTGAGCTGTGGGTTTGTGTGTCTGTGTGTCCTGGCTGAGTATTTTTATATTTCCTTCCCCAGATGATGATGAATTTGACTCTTACCCAAGATTACCTGGAAGTATGGTTTTGGGCGGCTGAGCTGTGGGTTTGTGTGTCTGTGTGTCCAGGTAATGTAACGTGATATTTCATTTTCCAGATGATGGTAAGAAGCTGACAACCCTAACCCATGGTTACCTGGAAGTATTGTTTTGGGTGGCTGAGCTATATAGGTTTGTGTGTCTGTGTGTCCAGGTAGTGTAACTTGATATTTCCTTCCCCAGATGATGGTAAGAAGCTGACGACCTTGACCCTGACCCATGGTTTGCTGGAAGTATGGTTTTGGGTGGCCGAGCTGTGGGTTTGTGTGTCTGTGTGTCCAGGTAATGTAACGTGATATTTCATTTTCCAGATGATGGTAAGAAGCTGACAACCCTAACCCATGGTTACCTGGAAGTATGGTTTTGGGCGGCTGAGCTGTGGGTTTGTGTGTCTGTGTGTCCAGGTAATGTAACGTGATATTTCATTTTCCAGATGATGGTAAGAAGCTGACAACCCTAACCCATGGTTACCTGGAAGTATTGTTTTGGGTGGCTGAGCTGTGGGTTTGTGTGTCTGTGTGTCCAGGTAGTGTAAAGTGATATTTCATTTTCCAGATGATGGTAAGAAGCTGACAACCCTAACCCATGGTTACCTGGAAGTATTGTTTTGGGTGGCTGAGCTGTGGGTTTGTGTGTCTGTGTGTCCAGGTAATGTAACGTGATATTTCATTTTCCAGATGATGGTAAGAAGCTGACGACCTTGACCCTGACCCATGGTTTGCTGGAAGTATGGTTTTGGGTGGCCGAGCTGTGGGTTTGTCTGTGTGTTCAGGCTGAGTATGTTGATACGTCGATGAAGATTAGACATCCAGGTAATAAGATACGCCAAAAAACAGTTCCCCAAGCAACTGGATATGATTTTGGAAACGGTCAGTTTCAGCTAGTATTCTCAGTCACTGACGAAAGCTAGTGGATACTAGCTGAAACGTCTGACCGTTTCCAAAATCATATCCAGTTGAGTAACTGCTTTTTGGCATGAGTATATGTTGATATTTCCTTCCCCAGATGATGGTAAGAAGCTGTCGACCTTGACCCTGACCCATGGTTACCTGAGACTGCTGGGCCCGAGGATGACATCACTGTTGAACTCCGCACCTCACCTGAGGAGACTGTCGCTGGCTCTGGTGCAGGTGTTGGAGCTGGACGTTACCGATGTGAACATAGTGGGGGAACGGACTCCCGGGGCAGGTGAGAATCAATCAATCAATCATTCAATCAATCAATCAATCACTTATTCAATCAATCAATCAATCAATCAATCAATCAATCAATCAATCAATCAATCAAGATACTGTTGGTGGATGTTATATTATCTGATGTTAAGATAGTGGGAGATGAATGAATGAGAAGACTCTCGCTGGCTCTGGTGCAAGTCTTGGAGCTGGACGTTACCGATGTGAACATATTGGGGGAACGGGCAGCCGGGGCAGGTGGGAACCAATCAATCGATCAGTCAGTCAGTCAGTCAATCAATCAATCAATCAGTCGGTCACTCACTCGACCACTCACTGATCACTCACTCGCTCACTCGCATACTCACTCACTCACGCTCACTCACTCTTCACTCACACACTCACTCACTCACTCACTCACACACTCTCACTCACTCACTCACTCATTCACACACACGCACTCACTCACTCACACACTCACTCACACTCACTCACTCACACACTTACTCACACACTCACGCACGCACGCACGCACTCACTCATTCATGCACTCTCTCACTCACTCACTCACTCAATCATTCACTTACTCAATCATTCAATCACTCACTCACTCACATACACATACACATACTCACACATTCACTCAATGACTCATTCACTCAATCATTCAATCACTCACTCAATCACTCACGAAATCATTCACTCACTCAATCAAGAGACTTGGTGGATGTTACAGATGTTAACATAGTGGGAGATGAATGAATGAATGAATGAATGAATGAATGAATGAATGAATGAATGAATGAATGAATGAATGAATGAATGAATGAATGAATGAATGAATGAATGAATGAATGAATGAATGAATGAATGAATGAATGAATGTAGGGACTCTGCTGCACCTTTAGCACTGGTACCAAGTGCCTGTGTTTCTTGCTGCAAATGACTTGCTTCAGTATTTTATAAAGATTCAAATGAGATCACACACTTCGAATATGAGAAAGAAAACTTTTAATCAGGCCAACTTAAAATAGTGTAATGTTACTTACATGTAAATTGTACAGCTTGTGTACACAGCTATTAGACAACAACAGCTTCAATTCACTTCACATTTTACACACACAATGTTGGCTGTCATATTCAGAGCACTAGTCTGTATGTCATGTTTATTAGATATACCTTCTTCATTAACTTCTCATTAGATGTCAGAATCCTGAATCATTACAAAATGTATGTTTACCGAAGGAATGTAAAAAAACAACACAGAAATGTGATCAACCTCAGTCAATCCCTGTACTCGCTGCAGTTTGAATTCATAACCAGTTAGCGAATACTGGCTAGGGGGCAGCAGTGGCCTTCACTTCACAGACGTAATAAAAAGTACTGCTGCAGTCAAAATCAATCCACTCACTGTTATTAACACGTAGTACAGCACAGTTGATAACATGATTATTAGGGTCAGGGCTCCCTTGTACCCAGTTTTCCCAGCCAAGTTTTGTCCCGTCCTCCCACACCCAGGTTCCCCTTGTCACCTCGTCTGTCAGACCAATCCAGACAGAGGGTGAAAAATGAATGCCGTAATTGGCCTTAACCCGTTTGTTCAGAAAGTCGTTTGTTGCCTGGTCCTTGGGCATGACCAGGTGCCCACCGGCAACTTGGCAGTCAGATCTGGCATTGGTGTAGTTCTTTGAGTCGGTAGAAAACTTGTAGCACATGTCATGTTTTTCGCAGAACCGTTCATACCCACTGGGACAGGTTAGGGTCTTGTTACAGCAGGCTGCAGAATGAGTATTATAATTATATTTTGCACTTACATACAATGTAACATACTGTCAGTCAGGTAGAGACATACATTTGTGCAAACGGTATTTATTTATAACATATTCTCATGGGTTGTGAAGGTAGTCATTTATTTAGTAAATCAAACCGTCTAGGCCTAAGGGTACAAAGCCCTGTGCTGTAGATACTACTGTACGTATTAGGTATGCATGTTAGACTCACTCTTTTTGGTGAGGCAGAGATCCAACTTGAGATCCTTGACCTGCTGCTGCACCTCCTCAATCTGCTCCTGCATTTTCTTGTTCTGTTCCAGCAACAGAGTGATGACCATGTCCTGCAGTGTATGCAAAGGGGTGTGTACTTGAAAACTTTGAGATATATTCATTCAGAAAGTTGAATTAAAAATCAGATCAACAGTCCAGTTCCACCTGTTAGTAAGTATTTGATTCAGTTTTTAAATGCCCAGGTGAAGTTCTGCCCTACCATGCATACATGTACATGTATTATGCCTTTTATAGAATAGTAAATAATTGTATTTTACTTGGATAACTGTTACAAAAATAGAAGGTCATAGAACAAATGAAGGAAAGTAATTATCATAGACCTGTTATGAGAAATACACTCTGTTCTCCAACTTTCATCTGAATCTTCAGTCCAGCATATCAGTACTCAGGACACCCTCTCCTGGAGAAACAGACATAATAAACACCAATAGATTTAGAGGACACTAACCCTGCCAGTGTCTGACATGTCCAGTATGTCCAGCTGACTCTGCCAGGTGCCTGTTGCAGGATCCTGATGTAGCCCTGTCTGCTTCAGCAGCTCAGCAATGACAGTGTCCTAGAACATTTATCAAGACAAACTTTATCCCTCTCAGTGTCTGGGCTTAGACCATGAAGTGGGCTTCATGTGCTAGTAATGGTAACTGGGGGGGGGGGGTGTCAGGTGGTCTTGTGTTTAGGCATGATATCGGTAACAAACAAAGAAATCTACCCTGGGTAAGGTATGAGACATTGAGGGGGACTAAGCAATGCTCACAAGGTTTCTCACAACCTCTTTTTGTACCCTACTCAGTAAGTCTCCATGCATGAGCAATTCCAGATTGATGTAAAAGTTGGTAAAAGACTAAAAAAAATAAATACAGGTTTCAGAAAAAAGACAGCTCCTACCTGACTCTTGTCTGCTGTGCCACTCCCTCCTGCGTTGTCCCCAATGTTGACATTTACATTGACAATCTGGCCTGAAGCCTGCAGCAGGGGCATCAGGACAGCCAGCATCACAAGCACTGCTTTCACGTCCATGGTCAAGGGTGAAATATTCTGGAAACAACTGTCCTAACTGCAGCTCTGTTGTGTCGCCACCTTCTTTTATACCAGCGTTGTTGATGTTACCAATGCAGAGCCAACAGTGAAGTCTATGAAGCTTACAATGGTCTGTAACTCAAAGCTACTGGCATTGTTAAACAGGTCAGAGGCCATGTGAGAGGCCAAGGAAACGAAGAAGGCCAACAGCCAGGTCAATTCCATTGGCACATTTGTACTTGCATGAAAGTCTTTTAAGAGAAGTTTGTTTGCTAGAGAAAGATGACGTCATTAAGTTACTTGTATAGATACCATGACATGTACATGTATTTGGTGGTACATCGTACATGTAAGTTTTTGCCAATGGAAGAAACTCAAAAGGATCCTTATTCAACCTTTACTGTACAGATTATATATATAGTGGGTAGCTGTTGGCTAAGGGCCAAAGATACATCATCTCTTCAGTCTATGATATTTGACCATTGGGCAACCATAAAAAAAAAACGATAAAACACTTTTCTCCACCCTTCTTCTTTATTATTCAATGACATCTTTTTTTTAATCAATTACATAGTTTTATGATGTGCATTATAATCCAGATACAAATGTATACCCTCTCAGGAACTCTTCATTAACTTCTCATTAGATGTCAAATTCCTGGCAGAATCCTGAATCATTATGTTTATTTACCAAAGGAAAATCAGAAATTTTATCAGCCGCAATCCCTCTACTCACTGCAGTTCCAGTGCATAACCAGTGAGCGAAAACTAGGGGGCAGCAGTGGCCTTCGCTTCACAGATGTAATTCTGAGCACTACCGCAGCTAACATGAAACCACACGCTGTTAGAACCGAGTACAGCACAGTTGATAACATCATCATTAGAGGTAGGGTCCCCCGTATCCCAGTTGTTCCAGTCAGTGCCCAGTTTTTCTCCGTCCTCCCACACCCAGGTTCCCTTTGTCACCTGGTCTGTCAGACCGATCCAGGCGTCGGACAGTGTGTATCTACCCTTAACCTGTTTGGCCAGGAAGTCGTTTGTTGCCTTGTCTTTAGGCATAGCCAGGAGCCCACCGTCAGCCTGACAGGCGGACTTGGCGTCGGTGTAGTCTTTATAGCCTGTCTTGGTAGAAAACTTGTAGCACATGTCGGGCTTCTCACAGAACCATTCATACCCACTGGGACAGGCTGGTAGGGTCTTGTTGCAGCAGGCTGCAGAATGAAATAGTATGTAAGCCATCCAGAAATACACACTTATGCTATCAAAAACATAAACTCTTGAATGAAGATAACAGTTCTGTAAATCAAAATGGTGTACAAAAACCTTTGCTGAAGATCGCATTCTACAAATGCATAATGATATCATAATAACTAAGTATGTTATTATGACGTGACCCAGACTGGAGAACATCCTGGAGGCTAGGCACCGCATGAACTGTGCCAAGTAGTAAATGGACTGATAGGCTGATATAATTATTCTAATCTATGCTGATACTAGTACATTGTATTTCTTTTTTGTGACATATTGTTTAGGTTTAAATGTGTGTCTTAAGCTTGTTTGTGTGCTAGTGTTGTCTTGTGTGCGTGCTGTGGCCCACGAGTATTGTATTGTTTGCAGTTTCAATAAATCAAATCAAATCAAATCAAGACATGTATACTATTATGTTACTCACTCTTTTTGGTGATGCAGTGATCCAAAGTGAGATCCTTGATCTGTTCCTGCATCTTCTGCATCTGTTGCTGCATCTCCTTGTCTCGCTCCTGCATCACCTTGTTCTGTTCCAGCAACAGAGTGATGAGCATGTTCTGTAATTGGATGTGAAGGGACGTACATGTTAATAAATAATCGACAAACCACTAGTAATGGAAAGACAAAAACATCTTCTCGGATGACCATTGTCAATCGATGATGACGATTGGAAAATGGACCCAATAAAAAAAGACCCGGTAGGCAACTAATAAACTAACCTGCCCAGTATCTGTCATATCCAGTAGCTGTGTTTCCAGCTGACTGGTGTCTGGGAATAGCTCTGCACCCTGCTTCAGCAGCTCGGCAACCTTGTCAGCATCCTAGAATAAAGATGAAGGAATACTTTACTAGTAGGTTTACAACCAAAACCTCAGACTTTGTTATAAGATTCCCACTCACTGTCTGGGCTCAGACCAAGACAGGAATAATTGGTGTCTAATCTACATGTAATTCTGTAATTTTTGTTTTTATTAATTACTAAGGCCACAGCAAGTAAATTTTATGGATGACATCCTCCCCAGACTCCAAATCTAATGCGAGCGGGCGAAAAAAAACAAGGCGGGCTGAAAAAAACAAGGTTCCTACAGTTTAAAATTTTGACTCAATCAGTGTACAAATGGTTTTGATTCAGTGGGAACATCACATATACACAGCTAGCATCACATATCACTGCATCAAAGTAAGAAACAAACATTAAATCAGAGTCTTTTCTTGTCGCGCGCGGATGTCATCCATAAAAATTACTTGTTGTGGCCTAACAGTACAGTATAATATCATGCTCAGGGTTTTCATGGTCCCTTTTGTACCGGAAACTTCTCAGACTGAAATCTAAATGCACTCAAGGTTTGTAACAAGCCATACTGTCCTTATACCCTTATAATTACTGACAAAGAAAGAAATGTACTACATTTGTGTTGATAGGCAGCTCCTACCTGACTCTTGTCTGCTGTGCCCCTCCCTCCTGTGCTGCCCCCAATGTTGAGGTTGATGTTGACCGTCTGGCCTGAAGCCTGCAGCAGGGGCATCAGGACAGCCAGCATCACAAGCACTGCTCTCACGTCCATGGTTAGCTCTTGTGGTCACAGCGATCTGGAAACAACTGTCTCAACTGCAGCTCTGACGCACCAGCAAATGCCACCTTCTTTTATACCTGAGTGTTGTTGATGTTACCAACGCAGAGCCAATAGTGAAGTCTAAAACAGCCGTAAAACTATTATTCTGAAACTCAAGACTACCGGCATTGTCAAACAGTTCACAGCCCTTTGTAGAGGGTGAGGAAATGGAGAAGGCCAACAGCCAGCCTTATAAAAGAATTTGAAAGTCAAGTTTGCAAGTCAAGTGTGAAAGTCAACACATTGTAATCTAATCTAATAATCTAAACCTACTCAGAGGTACAGTTTGATTGTACGTTAAACAAACTAATTCTCATTGAGTCACTAATGGCCTAAGGTTAACTTTCCAATGATACATTGTATTTTGTGGTAAGTACACAGTCATGTCTTTGCCAGTGGAAAAAAAACTCAAAACTGTGCACTCACTGTTACAGTGTGTTGCCGTTGGTTGAGGGCCAAGGGTACATGTATATATATCTCATCTCATTTAGCCCTTATTTCAAGTATTCGACCTTTGAAAATCTGAGAACCTTTTTCTCCACCCTTCTTGTTCTTTGTTCTTGTTGATATTTTACTTCATTTATTATATTTTCCCAAACTTCTCTATCTTCCTCCCTGGGCATGAACTTAAATGGTGTAGAATACCCAGTAGGTCTAAAAGAGCCCATTTATACATACCCTGGCCATGTGAACCTCTACCTGTACAATAAATAAAAGTGAAAACAATGCCACATGTGTTTCTTGCGTCCCTACCTCAGGTTTTCCAGGCGTTACTGTGAGCAGCACCACGTCAGCTGTACCGTTAGACTGTCCCCCCGCCGGTCAGTACGTCCTGACAAACAGGACAAAACGCTTCCAACACTTCCAGGATCCTCGTATTTACCAACTACTGAGCCAGATCTGCCAACTACTCGGGTACTATGGTAAGTTTTGACGAATATTTTTAAACAATTATACACAAGCACAACAAAATGTTCTGGGGTATTATGGTAAGGTTGTGGTGTAGATCACTGAAACTATCATTGTTATGGGTGAGTCCACAGGGTATAGGTGATTAAGAGCTGAAGAATAGAATTACTGTCACCTAAAGAAAAAAGGAACTTCAATTACACAACTTGTGATTTTCTAGTTTTTATTGCAAGCATCAATGATAAAATATTAATGCCTGAGATTTCAAATTTGGATTGAAAGTGTTGACGGATTTGAAATCTAGCATAGTATCAAAATCAAAGACATAAGAATTTTTAAAATTGCACCCATGTGATGTGTGTAGTATGTTTAGTTCCTCACAGTTAATGTTATGGCTACTCCACACTTTTACTTAATAATAATATACACATCTGTAGTAACATTACAGATATTTCCAAGAGTTACTTTGCTGATTGACACTAAGGGTTTACTCCATGCACATTTTGTGTTTTGTTATACAGTAGGTGATCTTTCTCTGCTTGTGGACCATTTCCTGGACCTGTGCCAGCAGTCGTCCCTGCACAGAAAACAGGCAGTTCTCATTCTCAGCCAGATTCTGCTGGGCTCCACTGGAACTGAGATCCCAGAGGTACCAGCCAGGCCACCCAGTGAGGAAACAACAGACATTATATGGTACTATGTCCATATTGTTGATCAAAGTGTTCAAAGCATGCATTGAAACAATTCTTTTGTATGGGTCAGAATCATGGGTTATCAGTATGTCACGCTCTAGAAAACTAAATGGAACCTACACAAAGATGCTGCGAGTAGTTTTCAATACACCATGGTGGAAACATACTACTAATGAGCAGTTATATGGGTCATTACCAAATGCCACTACTGTAACAGTAGTTAAACGTCGACGACTGAGCTTGGCCGGTCATGTTTTACGTAGTAAAGAACCAGCCAGTAGGCTTCTACTTTGGAGCCCTGAAGCGAGGAGAAGAGTTGGACGCCCAAATATGACACTTAAGAAACTTATAGAAACTGAAACAGGCTTGGAGGGCCTGGAACTTATTTCAGCAATGAATGACAAGCAGTTCTGGAGATCAAACTTGTCCGCTCCACCTCTTCGGAGGGTGACTGATGATGATGATGATGATGATGTCTATATTCACGTAGTAGCTGGCTACATTACATCGAACAATATGTGACACCTAACTAGAGCTGTGTACCGGTACGCAGTACCGATACTGTACCGGAAAAATTGATTAGGTACAGGTCCAAAATACCTAATCCCTCAGTACCGGTACTGTACCTAAACAATTTCACACTAATTTTATGCCTATTTGTGACCTCAAATGTGTAAATAGCTGGTCCACAATGGGTCCCTGTGTAAGGACAGTGTGTTCATGAAAACAAAAACAACTTAGTTTTGCCTATATTTTATCTGAGCATTCGCCATAAACAAAGAATAAACCTTAACTATCAAGTTTATTTATGTTTTTTTTTTGTTATTGAAGGAGTTCAGAAGAGCATATAAATTGGTCGAATTGTTCAGGTACAGGTTCAGGTCCGGACCTGTACCTAAACCTGTGTACCTGTACCTGTACCTGTACCTAAAATTTGTTTAGGTACACAGCTCTACACCTAACCCTTGAACATCTAACTCTAAACATTCTTTAAAATTAAAGCTATATAATTATAAAGAATTAACACTTTTGATCCAACACAAAGGGTTCTATGATCTTACCTAGAGCTTTCGACCAGTTCCTCTGATCTTTGACAATAGAATGGAATGACCCAGTGAGGCTCTAGGTAAGATCATAGAACCCTTTGTGTTGGATCAAAAGTGTTAATTCTTTATATGTAGTTACCAACACAGATGGATTCTTTAAAGCTATCTAGTGACAATGCCCCTACTGTACTTGGTGCCAGCAAGTTCCACTCTGCATTAGTTATAGGGAAGAATGAGTATCTAATAGTATGTATAATTGCTTTTAATTTTCAAATCAGTGTTTATTTCATGCAAATATATTCTGTTGTTGAACTCCTTTTTACAAGTTTAAGCATACAACATTAACTGCCCTTGGTTTTGTAATAATTTATATGTTGAATCTTTTTAATCTTTTTAATCTTATGTTCGAAGTTATTTTCTTTTTACAGTTCACTACTGGAGGAATACATCTCTCCCAAAAATTGGCATCTTCCAACTTCCAGCCAATCAGAATACATAGATTCTTCTAACACTACTCCTGATTGGTCCAGTGGTGCAACATTGCCATTGAAGGACACTTCTGATTGGTTGATGCCAAGATCATCTCCAAGGGGACAGCAAATTTCCTATAAGACCCTGAACAGCAACGTTCTTCTTATATGCCTGCAACTTGAAGGAATTGGTGTTTTCTCGAAGGTGCTTGGGGAAGACTTTAAGGTGTTCCTTATCCAGAGTCTTTACCCTGTTCTGGAGAAACTTGGAGACGACTCGGCAATCATCAGGTCAGTACCAGGGTTTCTCCTTGTTTCTGGCAGGAATGCCTTCACTTAATCCTGATGGATAAGGCCATGTTGATTTGATTATATGGATGACATCCTCCGGGAGCCCCAAAACTGATGCGCGCGTGCGAATAAAAAAAAAGTTGTGCAAAAAAAAAACGTTCTTTTCATTATGAAATCTACGTGGTCATGAGGGTTGAGCAAATGGCACAGAATATGGTTTGGCGAATAATCTAGTCTTCAAGTTCATTTCTTTACAATTTCGTCTTTTTTCGTTTGATTTTGGCATCTACGACATTGGTATGGTTTTTATTAATTTTTTTGTAACTTATGGTATATTTTTGCTCATTTTGCAACTGTTTTGTACGATTTACAGTATGGATGAAAACTTTCTTTTTTTTTTGGGAAACGGCCGAAAATTCATGCGCGCGCGGATGTCATCCATATAATGAAATCAACATGGCCTAAATGAATGAAATTGAGATGTAAAGTTATACTATATATAATAGAGAGACATATCATGCATTAACCTGGTTAATAATATAAAGTTAAAGAAAGAGAAATAATATTATTATTAACCTAAGTTTAGTGCACCAGCAAAGTTTGCCCCTCAAAATGCAGGAAATAGTGATTCAGAGCAGGGATTGTCTGGCTCAACATGATGTAACATGGAACAAAATTGAGATGACGGAAAAGAAGTAAGTCTATATTATGTATATGTTTCTGCAGTTCTAAAAGATTACATTTGTACATGCTAACTCTCTCTGGCTATGTTCCCAGTGAGACAGCCCATGCCACCCTTGTGTCCGTGTGTGTGAGCTGTGGGTACGGCTCAGTGGCTCGGCTTATTGCAGAGAACGCAGACTACCTGGTGAACGACATTTCCCTCAGCCTCAGGCACTTCAGCCTCCACCCCCGGGCACCGCACGTACTCAGGGTCATGCTGCAGCACAGCGACAAAGATATCCTTCCTCTGGTTCAAGACGCCATAGAAGAGGTGAGGTTGTTTTATTTTTTATTTCATTTTATTTTATTTTATGAAGATTTACCACATACCACAAGGATTGACATAACAGGTGACTATCATCTCTTCAAGATGCTTAACGTTGTTTCTCAGTCTTGTGTCCTTCAGCATAGCACACCAACTTTGCAGGCACGCGGTGCAGTGGCAGCTGGCACACCGAACAACTTGTTACAACTTGTTTTCTAGTGATGATGACCCCAGTGTACTCTGTGGCAGCAAGTTCCACTCTACAATCATAGTTATAGGGAAATTAAGACATTTTTGACCTCCTCAATCATTGGTTGATAACTCTGGTACTTGAAGGCATGACAGTTCAGGGACTACCATGTATCTTCACAGATCCTGCTAGCGTTGGACCAGCACTACGAAAGCAGATCCGTCAGCTTCCTGAGAGTTCTCAAGTCTCTGGTAGGAGCCATCAACCGGTGGTTTCCAGTAAACAAGGTTTGCATTTTCATCACATCTTGAATGCTCCGTCTTTCCCTGCAATGACATGTACAATGCAGGAACCAAGGAAACGGAGACAGTTTTCACTATGAATCTGAATCAATGCGTGAAGAAAGGAGTCTAAATCTCTCCTGCTATAAAATTGCAACATGATGTAGCCCAACACTAGTTACCATGGTGACAGACGTCTGGTTCAGGTCATTGACCTTATTGGTTTGGAGAAGAAGAGGAGGAAACAGAGCAAAAACAAATTGTTTTCCTTCGGTAAACATAATGAATGAATGAATGGATGAATGAATCAATTCTAACCCCAGAAACCTCATTTTGCAGAGTGAAGAACAAACCCAGAGACCTTCTAAGACCAGTTGGGACGTGGAGGGACCTCAGTCCATAAGAGACTTCCTGGTCGAGTATCACCGGACAAAACAGCTCGCACACGGTCTCCTTGGTGATGATGACATCACGGATGTGGAGCATGATGGGAAAGAGCGCACAGAGGATTCTGGGAATGAAGAAGCCATGGAGGAACCTGACAAGAAGCCGGAAGTTCCTGTGCATGTTAAGAACGTTCTTGAGGTAGGGTTTGTTTGTTTATTTGTTTGAGATAATGCTTACCTTCGGACATGGTCTGCTCTGTTAATTCTTACTCAAACACATTCACATACATGTACTACTAGTATATGGTGACAGGAGCAGAGCAGACCATGAAATTGCAACATTATGTAACCCAACACCAGTTACCGTGGTGAGAGACATCAACAAATCAGGTCATTGGCCAGGTCAGAGGTCAGTGTTTGGAACGGAAGAAGAAGAAACTGAGTAAAAACAATATGTTTTCCTTCGGTAAACATAAAAATAGCAAACATGCTACATCATACTACCAAATGAAAATAAGTGTAACCTTAACATATACGCAAAACCAACTTGAAGGTATTTGCATATTCGTGACTTGACAAATGCACCCCTGTAATGCTACTATATATTCCTGCAGGTGCTGGACAGGTGCAGGCACCTGATGTCCTCAGGTGACCCCTGGGTGAGACTGCAGGTGTTGGACCTCACCTGTGAGGGGCTGGTGGCTCTACAGGACAGTCAGGACCAGCTGCTACCTCAGGTGGGCAAAATTACACCTGTGCTTTATCCAGGACCAATGCTTTACACCTGGAAAGTACCGTAATTCACTTCATGTTCATGGTAGTAAAATTGCACGGTCTGAGAAAAATGTTGGTGTTCACGGAACTTCATTGTACAGAAGTGACAGGTATGAAAAAAGAAGGTTGCCGAATCATTTGTGAACGGTAATGATCAGTTTGTGGTATAGAAGTGACTGTGAAAACTGTGAAGTCAACATAAAAGTATGGTGAAAAATCAGGAATTACTTACTAACAGTACTTAAAATTTGCTTCACTTCATGTTAGATGGCTACCTGTTACAGCTGTGGCAACTGTTTAGAACACCTGTCTAGAACACCTGTTTAGAGTGCGAGTCCTGTTGAGATTAGAACACCTGTTTATCACACCTGTTGGAATACAACACTTTGCTACACTAACCATTACATCAACGTTACTTGTTCCAGGTGCACCAGCTTTGGAAGCCCTTCGTACACCGAATGGAGGACTCTGAACCCCTGGTCATACTCAAAGTTAGTGTTTTTTGCACATTTTGTAAATTTTCCCACATTTATAACTGCTCAACTCCAGTCTTTGTCAAGGAATGGCATGTGCTTCTTCTTGCACCCAAATTTGGAGCTGTGCACCCAATTTTTTTCATTGCAAAGATATTAAATGTATAGTAATGTAGCATATTCAACATCTACATGTAAGTGTCAGACAAATAGTAAAATCATTGTTATAGAAAGTAGTTATCATCTTTATATGGTGCACCCCAAAAAATTTGTGTGCACCTATTTCCAAAAACGAATTTTGACTAAATGAGCATTTACGTTAGTGTATTTATTATATAATATTATGTGAATTACATGTAAGCTAAGAGTTTTAAGTTGAAAAAAAAAATCACTGAAATTCATATGATATAATTCTGTTATTGCCTCTCCAGGCCTTTGAGACCCTGTGCATCATGGGAAAAGTGTGTGGTGACTTCATCAGAAAGCGTGTACTCAAGGAGGTGTGGCCCAAGGTCACGACCTTTCTCACAAACCAGGCCAAAATCAGGTACAAAATTTCTTAATTTTTTCTTTATTATTTTCTTTGGATTTTCCATAACAAGATGGACAGGGAGACAAAATGAGTGAATGATCACCTCTTCACGTTGTCTTCTTCAAAACTTAAATCTCATTTTCAACCTGTTAAGGAGTCTGTCTTTTTTGCAATCTTACTGTGACAGTCACTATCTTCAAGTTCACTTGGTATTTTAAGCCATTGCAGCTTTCTTACTTACAATTTACATGAAATAATATTTAAGTTAAATTCAATTGCAAACTTAAAACACTGCGAAAACGTCCATGTTTAGTCCAGAGTTTCTTTCTTGGAGATCTGTGATATTTCACCCGTCCTGACCTTATTTTAGTTTACTCCATGAAATAATTCACAAAGTTGTACACACAGTTAAACCCATTTGAACAGATTATGATCTTTTTTATTTGCATAACCCAAATCCATCTCACTAAATGTTTTAAAACATTTGTAACGGCAGAGTGCTCGACTTGGAACCAAGAGGTCCTGGGTTTGAGTCCTGACATACCACTGATCTTGTGCCCTTGGGAAAGGCACTTTACACGACTTTCCTCACTTAACTCAATGAGTGTTGTTCTGCTCTGTATTTGTTTCTATGTGTGGACAGAACACTAGTAACAGCTGCCTATAGCTATGTGCCACGTGTATTGTATCAATTTACAATTTCACTAAATCAAATTAAATCAAATCAAACATTGTGTTTGAGTGAAAGAAGGATCCGCAATTCAGTTACAGTTTGCGGATAAAGTTTTGAGGTCGCACCATCATCTTGGTGGCCTTCAGTGAGTAGTAGTGGCTAAGTTTCCAGTAATACCAGTCAACACCAACCCCTGTGTTAGAACCATGATAGTCTTCTGGCTGGTAGTAGGGACCATTCAGGACAGAGATACCACAATTGTTATACCACCAGCCACCTGACAAGAACTGAGCACAGTGTCTACTACTGTGCCCATCATTTTCCACATCTCTAGCACTGAATTTCATACCATTATTGAGCTCCATAGAGTCTCCAGCATCCCCACTGTACCCCCCAATGTTCAGTGTATAATCTGTACTCTCATCCCCAATGCTGAATGCACCGTATTTAGCATGAGCAAAGTTCCCTTCCCAATCCTGTAACTCCACATACAACTCATAGCTATTCTGGGATGTCAGGTTGTGAATTTTATCCAGTCCAAGCCAGTGTTCCCCCTCGACCCTCCCAAACCCATTTTTGTAGTCTGCCCAGTATCTATCAAAGTTGAGTCTCCCATCCACCCTCCTCTGTATGACAGTCCAGCCCCCACCATCTGTAGTCATGTCACAGTAGACATCAAAGTGGTCGGTGGAAGACTCAGGTTTGATGGGGAAGACTCCGTCCTGCACTGCGTTGGTCCAGTAGAGTAGAGGGTAGAGGGTAGCACAGTCCTCGAAGTGAGCAGCACCGGGGGGAGGGGGGTCATTCCTCTGGCCGTTCAAACTTTCATCTGTAAATACAGTAAACATAAGTTGTAGTTTAATAGATTGACAAGCAACAGAAAACCTGCATATAGGCACATTTGCACCCTCACAGTGTCATGTACATGTAACTTGGATCAAAAAAGATTTTATTTTTACCCATTCAATACCCTTGGACCACGCATCAAACATTTGATGAACTTAAAGTTTAGCATATCTGAATAAGATAAATGAAAAAAAAACAAACAAATCTACTGGACACAGTTAGTGATCTGGGCAAATTTCAGGTGCCCGAAAAATTTTTGAGAAAGCCTCAATAACCAGTACACCTTTTATAATTTGGTATTCTTAGGTTACACAGCAGAACTACAAGTAGACATTTAAAACGGACATAGCTATTAATATAATACCTTGAGCAACTTGTGGTTGAGGAATCTCAGCAGAAAACGTGACGCTGCCAGCCGCAAGCAAGATAACAGTCACCAGACTGAAGGTCAGGCCAGGCTGGAAATAATTAACAAAATAACTTACAGTACTTAGCATAATTATTCTATAAATTCTAACTAAGTCAGATATCAATGACTGGTGTCCAAGATGTTGTTGAAACACCATTTTTTGCCAGTGATGAAGACACCGGTATCGTGCCCAGTTTGCATGTGTTTTTTTTTCAAAGACAAATCCAGAGTGTAGTTTAACCCTGCTGATCAGAAACAAGATGTGCTACTTGTCTGCTTTGATTCAAGATGTAGGCCATGCTTAGCAGTGTGCATTCAAAGCTGGTAAACCATTTCAACTTAATAGCAGGTGTTTTCTTCATGATTTAATAGACATGCACAGAACATGCACTTAAATAACATGCACAGAAAGTCTTAATAGAGAATGTATGTTGGTAGTTTTTGTACAGTAAGTCGCATATGGTTCTAACTACATTTCTTACAATTAAGTCACTACAATGTAGAGTAACAAGCTGGAAATAAGATGGATTCAGAACTGATTCGTTGATTCAGAACTGAACAGGCTAGGAACCCTTAACTAACTCACCTTTGGTTTGATGCTAGAAGTCATCCTTGGATCTGTCTCCTGTCCACTTCTGCAGGTACAGTAGTGTTCTACCTGGGCAGGTTGGACCACTTTTATAGCCGCAGCAAACTTGTTTTTCTGTCAGACCTGCTGATGCTTGCAGGAAGGGAGCTATAATAATTATAATTCCTGTGGACTCAAAGGGCTGTTCTTCCTCTGCACTTTTGAGTTGTCAATAGTCTTCAAAGGCAAAATAGATGGCCTTTTTTAAAGTTCATGTGACGGGAACATCTGTTGCTTACATTACAGATACAATATCTAACTATATGCAGAAATTTTACCTGACAGTGTTATATCTTTTATGTTTGCAGTTGTGTTTTAGTTTGTGACTGGAACATCTGTTGTTTACTTTATAGATAGCCTGTCTAACTATTCAGAAATTTTTAGCACCTGAAATATCTTTAAAGTTTGCAGTTGTGTTGTACCTTGGTTTAAAGTTCATGTGACAGAAGCATCTGCTTACTTATAAGAGATTAAGACCATCTAACCATGCTTAACTTTTTACCTTAAATATCTGTAAAGTTTGTAGTTGTTTTTATTTAACTATGCAGCACTTTTGACCTGAAATATCTTTAAAGTTAGTAGTTGTTTTGTACATTTGTTTGAGCCATGTGACAGAAACATCTGTTGTTTACTGTAGCCTAAGTTAGTTAATCTAACTAATAAATATGCAAAACTATCGACCTTAAAACTTTTTACCTGCAATATCTTGAAAGTTAGCAGTTACGTTGTACCTTTGTTTGAGGTTTGTGTGACCAGGACACCTGTATGCTTGTCTGTGTGTCGTATGCTTTTTATAAAGCACCAAGCCAGTCAAAGTTGTGAATAGTTTCCAAGGCAAAGAATGTGCCCTTGTTTAAAGTTCAAGTGACAGGAACATCTGAATACTTCAGACCATCTAACTATGCTGAACGTTTTACCTGAAATATCTTTTAAGTTTGCAGTCATGTTGTACCTTTGTGATGGGAACATCTGCTGCTTACTTTAGAGATAGCCTATCTAACTAATGATAATAATAGTATGCAGAACCGTGAACCTTTGAGGTTCATGTGACTAGGACACCTGTATGCTTGCCTGTGCCGTGTGCTTTTTATAATTAAAAGCACCAAGTCAGTCAAAGTTGTAAATAGTTTCCAAGGCAAAGAATATGCCCTTGTTTTTAAAAGGTTCATGTGACAGGAATATCTGAATACTTAAGACCATCTAACCATGCTGAACTTTTTACCTGAAATGTCTTTTAAGTTTGCAGTTGTGTTGTACCTTTGTTTAAGGTTCGTGTGACTGAAACACCTGCTGCTTCTAAATAGTAAGTTTATAGATAGCCTATCTAACCATGCAGAACTTTTTACCTGTTATATCTTGAAAGTTTGCAGTTGTGTTGAACCTTTGTGTGAGGTTCGTGTGACCAGGACACCTGTTTGCTTGCCTGTGTTGTGTGCTTTTTATAATGCTACAGTCAGTCAAAGTCCAATGTACAACAATTTACAGGTACAATGGAAGGCAAAGTGTTTTTGAATAAACTTAACATGTTAGTGTAAGACTACATGCTAGTTACATTTAACTAAACTTACTACAATCCACACATTGATTCTACACAATGTGGATGGAAGACTCAGTATATAAAGTGTAAGGTAGAGTATTCTACAAGACTACTGACTACCTTGTAGTAATGTTAATACTAAAAAAAATCATTTCAGAATTCGAAGTTCAACCATTGAAACAGATTCATTTATTCAAGTTTTCCAAATTTGCTAAAATTTGACAATTCTTGTAGTCTAGCCTAAAAGCAACAAATTAATATATTACAATGAATATTAAGCACTGCTATTTGTTAGGATGATAAACTTGCAAGACTAAGTTCTGGTGGTTTTAATCAGGTAATTTCAGCTAAAGTTGAAAGGACATCACCTTAGTTTGTACCACTACAAAGGCCATAATCCTGTAAGTAAGTGAGAAATTCATTCTAGTGTTACCAGGTACAACAGTACATGTATTACACTTTGTGTAACATGTGTAATCATGAATACAGTCCTCTAACTTGCAGTAGGGACCATTTACATATAGGATATACTGAGCACAGGGAAACATACTGTTTATCACATAATCGTGTATCACCTCCATCCACCTGAATATGTCCAAACACAGTTACATCTCTAGGTCTATAGCAGTTTAAAAGTTATAGTATAATGATTGTGCTGTAACTACTAGTTAGTGTAATTCGTATGATATCAGATATTGGTTAAATGTCTATGATAATCAGGTCTTATGCACACGACTCAATAAATGTTTTGTGACAACATTGTGTTTGATTATAAGAAGAATCTGCACTTGAGTTACAGTTTGCGGATAAAGTTTTGAGGTCGCACCATCATTTTGGTGGCCTTCAGTGAGTACCAGGTACCTTTCCAGTGATGCCAGTAAACACCATACCCTGTGGCAGAACCATGATAGTCCTCTGGCTGGTAGTAGGGACCATTCAGGGCAGAGTTAGTACAACTTTTATACCACCAGCCACCTGAAAACCACCGAGCACAGTGAACACCACTCCACCCATCGTTGTCCACATCTCTAGCACTGAATTTCATACCGTTATGGTAACTAATAGAGTCTCCAGCATCCCCACTGTACCCCCCAATGTTCAGTGTATAATCTGTACTCTCATCCCCAATGCTGAATGTACCATATTTAGCATGAGTAAAGTTCCCTTCCCAATCCTGTAACTCCACATACAACTCATAGCTATTCTGGGATGTCAGGTTGTAAATTTTATCTAGTCCAAGCCAGTGTTCCCCCTCGACCCTCCCAAACCCGTTCTTGTAGTCTGCCCAACGCCTGTCAAAGTTAAGAGTCCCGTTGACCCTCCTCTGTATGACAGTCCAGCCCCCACCATCTGTAGTCATGTCACAGTAGACGTCAAAGTGGTCGGTGGAAGACTCGGGTTTGATGGGGAAGACTCCGTCCTGCACTGCGTTGGTCCAGTAGAGTAGAGGGAAAAGATGTGAACAGTCCTGGAAGTGAGCAGCACCAGGGGGAGGGGGGTCGTTCCTCTGGCTGTTGATACTTTCTTCTGTAAAAACAATCAACATAAGTTGTTCAATTGATTGATAAGAAACCCAGGGATATCTGAAAAGCAGATCTAAAGATCTAATAATGATCTAATATAAATCATGGGAAAATAAATAAAATAAACTTGAATCTAGAGAAAACTTCCACCACAGATAAAGGTACTAGTACATGCACATACCATCTACACAGAACTCAGTATTCATTAATTTGGCTGACTTGGTTCAACTTGTTTGATTTTTACTCATTCAATACTCTTTTTAATGTGGTATTTTAAGGGTACACATCAGACTATATGAGGCGACATGAAAATAAACATTTTCTTTCATACCTTGAGCAACTTGTGGTTGAGGAATCTCAGCAGAAAACGTGACGCCACCAGCCGCAAGCAAGATAACAGTCACCAGACTGAAGGTCAGGCCAGGCTGGAAATAATTAACAAAGACTCCATTAAGCATTATTTCATCAAGTCTATGCTCTATTTTTACTCTCTTTGTTATCAAAAGTTACAATGTACAACCAAGGACATTACATCTGTGTATAATGTCCTTGGTACAACCTAAAAGGACTAGAGATCTGTACTTGAGGTGATGGATTCAACTTGAACTAGACAAAGTCATTTAAAAAGTAAAAAATATGCTGCGCTAAGATTATCCCCACCAGGATTTTATACCCCCTAGCTTTATCTGCTTGCAGCCCTTAAATTTTCGAAAACAATCCCCAAAACTTCTTCATTCTCAGTAACAGCCTGTCTATTATTAAGTGAACTCCCATTCCAAATCTCTTTAAAGACCATGAAAATGGGGGAAAACAGAGTAAGGTACTAAGAACTTACCTTAACCATGTTGGCAAGTCTGTGATCTTTGTTCACACCAGAATGAGCTCCCGTTGTTTCCTCTGACCAGAAGGCAAACCTCCGGCTTTTTAACCGTTTCTCCTGTCTTATCAACTGGGAAGGTCAGCTGATGCTGTTGTAGGATGTTTTTGTTTTTATCTGGATGTGTTTTAAAGTTTGCAGGACTCGTGCTTGATGTTTCTACGTACACCTGGTCAGTATTGTAAACTTTTCAATCAAAATATGTCAGTCTCCAAGTTGGGAAGTTCTCTACTTCGGTCAATTGCTGTTGTAGGATGTTTTTGTTACATCTGGATGTGTTTTAACGCTTGCAGGACTCGTGCTTGAGTTTGCTACGTAAACCTGGTCAATTGTCAAAACTTTTCAATCGAAATATGTCAGTCTCCAAGTTGGGAAGTTCTCTACTTCGATCAATTGTGGAATTCTGACGACAGTAGTGACGTCAACGTGACATTGTGCGATTGATTTGTACTTTTACAATCTCATTTGTCTTGTATGTTTTTTTCAACACAAATATCATCAAGACCACTTATGCGAAAAACTGACAACATAGTACAGTTGCTGAAATATAGACAATTTTATATTATATAAACCAATGTCTAACCAGTTTTTAACTGACAGTCTGAAGTAATAATTACTAATAGTTGAGTGTTGCTTTGTAATGGTTTGATTTGTATTCTAAACTTTTTTTTGGTTTATCTGCATGATTAACTGCTAAACTAAGAAACTAAGTTTTTAAAACTTTTTACTGTACCAACAACCAACATCCTACAAATGTGTGTTTCAGAGTGTCACCTGTTTCATGTTTTGCCAAACAAAGCATCAAGCCCACTTTCACTAAGATATCACTCAACAAACAAGAATCTGAACTACGGACGTTTCTATAAACCAATATCGTACCAGCAAAGAAATTTAAATGCTGCTTTTAAAATTTTAAGGCTGCCTCCCAACCAACATCCTCAATGATGTAATTGTGTATTTTTAGGGAGTCACCTGTCTGATATCATGGAGTGCACGTTTGGTAAAAACTCAACAAACACACTTACTGACATACGACGTTTCTATAAACAAAGCTGCTGGTAAGCTGCTGGTATATATATAACCCTCCTTTGGGGTAACACACCAGCTTCTACATGTGTCTGTATATAAGCTGGAATGACTGCCCTTTGAAATTTGCTAAAATTGTACACATTTCTGAAATACTGACTGAGGATTCTTTTTCTATAACCAGCTAGTTGATATAAGTTCTGTTTTATAATAGAAAGGCTGTTTCCCAGCCACCATCCTAGAATTATGTAATTGTGCATGTATTTTTAGGGAGTCACCTGTCTGATCTCACCGAGTGCAATTTTAAAAACTCAAGAAATACACTTACATGTACTGAAATACAGATGTTTCTATAAACAAATAGCTGACACTGTATACAGCTGCTGGTATAACCTTATAAGCTTCATGAGAACATAACCTCCTGTGCAGGCTCTGAGGCGAGTGGGAATTTTGATACAGTGTTTTGAAGAGTTTTTAACGCGTTATTTTGATAGCCAGCCATCCTACAACCGTGGAATGGAACCTTCTCTCGACGGCTATGTAGGATGGCTGGCTATTAAAAAAACGTGTTAAAAACTCTTCAAAATGCTGTATCAAACTTCCCACCCGCCTCAGAGCTTGCACAGGAGGCTAAGGAGAATGATCCCCTAGATCAGTGCCCACGCGCGTTCTAACATGGCCGCTCTTACGTAAGGCACTCACTCTCCCACGCTCTGTTGTTTATGCAAATGACAAAAAAGAACAACGTATAACACGTTCGCTTTTACGTAATATTTAAAAATCTACACTGCATCTTATTTTTGCTAGAATTTGATATGCTTGTACTTCTCAATCAAATCTTAGAATCTGTTCTTAGTTTTTATTTACTTAGTGTGAAAAGAAGTAAACATGCATCTTGAGACCTGCTTCATCATTAGAATTTTAATCATAAATATTAATGTTATTCAAATAGCCAGCTTCAGACAATTAACTTATGTAAGGCTGTATATTATATACTCCTGGGTTGTTTGTCACACTGCATCACAACTGTTACAGCGAGCTGTGCCCGAGTCCTTGCCAAGAAAGTGCCAACTAAAGCTAGTCTGACTCACTTGAAAGGTACGTTCCTACCTGTGGACAAATTAAAAATTTATATTTTTTTTAATGGTGAAATTTGTAGTGAAGACAGCTTTTCAAACAAGCAGAAGTATAATTAGGACGCTGTTACAGACTGTCAACGATCATGGTAGATCAGAGAAACTTGGCCATAAAAAAAAAGTAAAGTAACAAACTTTCTTTCAATCTTAATATCTACATGTACTTGGAGATAATGTTTAAGTTAGTTCTGAAGACAGTATCAGTGGCACCATTGAGATTTGTACATTATACATTATTCATAAGAATGCACGTGACTACATTAAAATTTTGTAATAAGACGGTATTAAAAAAACAGTCCTATCATGTCTGTTTTTAAGAAATGGCAGAAAATAACTGATAATGATTACTAAAGATCCTTTTGAAAAGTTGTGGAGAGGATGTAGGACTCGGGAGCTATAATAGGTTTGGTAACCAGGCTATAATTTTCTACTATTCTGCTCATTTCCTTGCCCGAGAGTGTTGCAAAAAAGGGTTTAGAGGCATTCAAATTTAATGCAATTTCAGGTCAGCAAAACTTGAAATATTCTGAATAAGGCAATTTTTGTGAAATTGACACGTACTGCTTCACATTAACACATTTGAGAATTTCATACTTTGGGTATTTAAAACTGCAGAAACAAGCTCGAAGATGACTCCTTTATTTTCTGGGTGGTACCCTAAAAATCAGCCCATGGTCCTTCCAGTAACCATTTTCTGTCAGAATTTTGGAACTTTTTGCTCAATAATGGTCAATAGACACTCCAATAGTGTGGTTTCAACTCACTATGTAGCTAAATGACTAGAATATTGGCTGTGAAAAATTGTGTTTCCAAGCCCTAAAAACTGCACTGGATGCCTTTAAAAAGGAGTACACAACGTGAATATTCAAGCAGCAAGTCCCAGACAATTAATAGGTCCATATTGTTATATATTCTAGATATCTAACCATTACATTTTTTTATATTATGATTTTCTCGCTCTTTCTTACCAGGAGAAATACTAAATACAAGAAAGGGCAGAGATACATTCTAGTATTTTGTTTAGTTAGTAATTTACCTTCCTACCCTACAAAAAACTGCATATCTATTAACACCTTCCAATTAATACATCTTGCAAAATGTTGACCATTCCATACTCCACTGCACGCAGAAATTTAAAGAAATCCAACCCAACTATATCCAGAGTAGCGAAGGATGAGCGAGAAAAATCATGATATAAAAAAAATGTAATGGTTAGAATACCATAATTCTAAAATACATTGTATGAGCCTGTTAATTGTCTGAGACTTGCTGCTTGAATATCCATGTTGTGTAGTCCTTTTTAAGACATCCAGTGCAGTTTTTAGGGCTTGCTTATTATCATTTTTACTGCTTTTTTTCATGTTCTTGCAATTAGCCCTCAGGCATGGATTTGCAATAAAATTTCCTTTGTTGAAAAGTTTGTGTCGTTATGAAAATGTGCACAAATGTCACTGTGACAAATTTTTTATGAGAGGTGAAAGCAGAGACAAAATGCTGGAAGGACAATTTGAGTCAGACTACAGGGCTCGAAATTCATTTTTTGGAAAAGGTGCACTGGTGCACCCAACCTAAAATATTAGGTGCTCAAAAAATTTTTTTGGTTGCACCATATAAAACAAAACCTTACTACAGATCTTACTGCTCCTCGTATGAGCTTGAATCTGAAATGGGAGCTAACTGCAAAATCTTACACAAGTACTACAACAAAGATTCATTATTTTTCTGACCCTTAGATGCCAAGAATATCCTGTATACTTTTTTTATTATAATCATTTTTAATATGTACAAAACAAATTGGGTGCACAGCTTTAATTTTGAGTCCTGGACTACATTTTATCCCCTTTATGAACAAAGAAAACCCTTTTTTTAAATTTATCTTTCAATTCTAGATTCCACAATCATATAAATTTTGTGTTGTCAAAGAAAGGTGCTTCCTAATCTTTCTAGGTGGCAGAGCACCATGGTTGGAAAGCTGCGACGCGTGCTGATTTTCCTTCTCATCATCCTGAAGGAGCCCAGCATGCCAGAATCTGACTGCAGCTGGGAACGACCAGTAAAATTACTCTGCTGCACCTGCAGAGATAAGAACCTCAGCAGCTTCCCTGAGAACCTCCCTACATCCATGTTATGCTTGGATTTGACTAGAAATCGTATTAACACTTTAAATCCGTCCGTTATAAAAAGATATAGCGATTTGAAAGTGTTGAACCTTGAGTCAAACTGTATAGCAGGGATTCAGCCTGGTATATTAAAAAATCTACCAAAACTAGAATCGCTGATCCTGGCATACAACCGGATAACAACGGTTCAGGTTGGTACGTTTCAAAACCTGCCCCACCTACAATACTTAGACCTGAATTTCAACCAGATATCAGAGATTCGGATTGGTGCATTTCAAATTCTACCCCGGCTACAAAAATTATTCCTGCGAACCAACTGGATAACAGAGATTCAGGCTGGTGCACTTCAAATTCTACCCCAGCTACAAACCTTATACGTGACAAACAACCAGATAACACAGATTCAGGCTGGTGTATTTCAAAATCTAGCCCGGCTACAATACTTAGACCTGAATCTCAACCGGATAACAGAGATTAAGGTAGGGACATTTGAAAATTTACCCCGGCTACAATACTTATGGTTGCGTAGCAACCAGATAACAACCATTCAGAAAGGTTCTTTTCAAAAGCTTTCCGTGCTAGTAGCGTTACATCTGGACAATAACAAGATAACAATGGTTCAAGAAGGGACATTTCAAAATCTGCCCGGACTAACAGATTTGATCCTGTATAAAAACCACATAACAACCATTCATCCTCATGCATTCCGTAATCTACCCCGACTGGCATGTTTGAACCTGGGCAGCAACAATATAAGTTCAATTCCTTCTGGTACATTTGCAAATCTCCCCCAGCTCCA